TTCGAATTTATAGACCAAAAATTCAGGTAAATTTAAACGGCTTAATTACCTGTTGAACAAAATAGAAAAAATCGAAATCTTGTGCAGAGCATAACACCAATAGGCACTGCAATAGCAAGAACTTCACCAAGATGGAGCTGTCGAATTTCATCTCTGTTACTATCTATATTCCTATTTTCGAGTTTTGTTCTCTTGTACTGAGTTCAGTTATGGATTATACATCAATTTTTTTGCCATATTTATAGCCAAAATGAATAGATGTGAACATGTATTGGCTGTAATATGAAAATAATCAACTTATTGTGTTCTTTAGATGTGAAATTGAGTTCAATGATTATTAAAAATCGGCTTCCCAGTTTTTCTTTTGTTTCTTTGATTGAGACAACATAGGGGTCGAAACACAGCTTCATAAATGGATCAAATTCGGGGCCCAACAAAATTGGTGGTATTAAGTGTATTGACAATTGAGCTATCTTTCACACACTATTTAAAATAATGTCACTCTTAACTCATCATTTCTTATCTATCTCTATTCTAAATTTATAAGACGCATGGCCATCTCCTAAGAAGGAGAACATGTGGGAACCTCATGAATTAGTACGAGTATATTACTTTAGACGATTTTTTAATTGTACATTTGTGTCGATCTTTCGTAGCCTATTTGAAAATTTGGGATTTTAATAATAAAGGATGAACTTGACTTTGAAAAGTGATGTTTTTTTATTTAAAAAAAATAAGTGCTTCGAGATTCAGATATTTCTTTGCTAATCACAATATTTAATGGCAAAAGTCGATTAGTTCTGTGTGTGAAAGGTACAACAAAATAGTTAAATCTATAATTGTTATGGAGAGAATAATGCCCATTGGACATGTTCAATGACAGGGATGGAGGGATAGGGTGATGTGAAAGATAAAAATTGGGTGTTGTGTTTTTATTTTTTTTCAAACTGTCAAATTATGTGTCGACATGTATCTCCCCGTTTATGAACCTGTTTTTGAGTTTGTTTGTGTATCACAATTGTTATGGAGAACTGAATCATAATTTATTGTATTAGTTGAGTGTCTAAGACTTCTACTAATAATTATATCACACGTACATAGTCCTAAACTTTGGCTCCAGTGTCAAGCCCCTTATTGATGAGAATTAAAATTAGATTTTTAGTAGATTTTGATATAAGTTGATGAAATGTGTGGTTGAAAAGTTATGGAATCATAAAATATGTGGTTGAAATGAATTATTGACTTTGATTTAAATTAAAATATAGATTTTAATAGGTACCAAACTGAGGCCTCTTCAATATTTGTTTTTGAAAATTTTTGTTCACTAAAAACAAATTCTCCATATCAACCTTCTTTAGATCAAGCTAATTGTATTCATACTGAGCCAAAAATATTTTCCTGTGTGATTTTATTTGAGAATCACAAAAGAAAGGTAATTTGTCCTAATATTCATTTCACCAGATGTGGCGAACTGTGGCCTATCCAGAGGATACTCAGACAGATTGCAGATATCGTTTCCTTTGGCAGAGATATGGTCCCCACATCCTGAGAGAGGAAAAGCATGTTGCAGATGCACTTGCTATCAAGGGTTGGCATTATCGTAGATACCAGGAATATGGATCAGCCGACCTACCACAACATATCAAGGCGCTTGTTCAGATCGACAGATATGGTTTGCCCAACACTAGAGTTTAAGTATTTGTATTTTGTTTTTACTTTTATTTTTGCTTACATTTGTGCTTTTTGTAAGAGAATAGTACTCATTGTTTGCTGCTTTCCTATTATTCTTTACTTTCTTTGTAAGGGAAGTAGTACTTCCTCATTTATTGATTTTATTCATATCATTTGTAACCACGGTATTCCTCCACCACAAGTGAGGATATATTAATAAATACCCGGAGGTACCGTCCTCTTTCCACTAAAAAAAAAAAAAAATTAAAATAGACTTACTTGTGACAAGATATTAAGAAATAAAATATATATTAAGGTATGATATTCATTTGAGCTATAAATGTTTGCTAAGATAGGACCTATAAACATTTTTATTCGTGTCTAATTGTTCTTGCAAACGTTATCAAGAGAAGTTGAGCACAAGAATCTTTTCTCTCTTATATATGCTGTTTTTTTATATATTCTTGCTTCTTAGAATTTTCAACGATTTTGTTTTGAAAAAATAGAAATTGACAAACTCAAAAGGGTTTTGTCAAGAGTATATATTCTTGCCCGTTAAAGGTCAGTGATCCTTTTTTCTTGAGTTTTTTAAAATTCAATCAGCATTTAATTTCGTTTCATACTTTTCACAAGAACAATAAGGTATATAAGTTTCTAGTCCAATTTGAGAATATTGAAAACTTGTGAAATAATCAAATACTTTTTCCCCGTTTTTTACATAACTACAAAACAAAATCAGGCGAACATTATATTTTCATCTAATGGAAAATAATAAACACCTGACTAAATGTAAAAAGTTGCATTTCCTCACAAGGACGGAGCTAGGATTGTAGAGTTATGGGAGCAAATTTCTATAATTAAAATCATGGTTTTGCAAAATTTTGAAGTACAAAATTTTAATTGTGGGGACAAAGTCGATAATTATTACAAATTTAAAATAAGATTTAACTTTTGTTTGATCCCCATTATTTCCAAAATACTTTTTTTCTCTATTGTTTTCGACCACTTTTTTTTTCTACTCATTTTCAACCACACATTCTACAATAAAATAATATTTTTTATCACATCAATAACTTTTCCTTCTTTTTTAACCACACATTCTCTATCAATTTATTATTTCAAAATATATTTTTTCAAAGATAATGTGGCTCATACAGACTCCAAAAAGTNAAATTGTTTCAATCCATGAAACAAGCTGAGGCCCTGTTTGGTACACATTATTTTTTTCATTCTCATTCTTCTACTCATTTTCAACCACACATTTTTCAATAAAATAATATTTTCCATCACATCAATAAATTTTCCTTCATTTTTAACCACATATTTCCTATCACATCACTTCAAAAAAATGCATTCTCTCATTTTAATGTGCACCAAACAGGCTCAAGCTTGTTTAGCGCATATGTTTTTTAGAAGAACAGTTTCTATTATTATTATTATTTTTTTTTTTGGTAATGTGTGATTAAAAGCGAGGAAAATTGTAGATCTCATAAAATGTACGGTTGAAAGTTATTTCTAGAAGAAAAATGATTTTTAAAAAATTGTTAACAAACAAACCATAAGTAGAAATAAAATCCTTTCCGATATTAACAAGTCCGATAAAAAAAAAAAATCTTTCTGATGTTGTCGAGAAAAATCAAAATAACAAATTTCTCAAGAAGAGTTGAGCCTTATGCTTGAGAGGGTAGAGATTAGGGTGACAAAGTGTTCGTGTTGAGACGAGCACAACCTAGGTTTTTGAAACAACAAGATAAAAATGTGTATAGATTGATCTGTATAGTCTGATATTTTGGATAATTTAATTTTAAAAATATTCATTTATTCGTGCCAATGACTCAAAAAATTGCTATTGATCATCGAAAGGAGAAAAACTTCAAAATGATGGTCCTATATGCACAAATAATATGACTGTCTATTCAAATCACGATACCTCAAACTTCGAGTCATTCAAATCGTGACATCTCGACGTCTGAAGTGGCAAGAGAGAGAGAATTAAAGTGGGAGTGCAACGTTAAGGTATAACGATTTGAGTGTCTCGAGATTTGAAATATCGTGATTTGAATGAATGATTCTACCAAACGTGCATATAAGATCATCCTACAAAAACTTCTCCACAAAAAAAGCACGACACTGCTCATATCTTTTCTTAGAGTAACTCGCGACACGTTACGTCTTGCATGGTTGAGTAAGCTCTTTACACCTTTCAAATGAAAAATATGTTCACACTCTTTTTTCATATTATTTCATATTTTACTATGTATCTTTTTTATTCTAGTTGTATTGTTTTAAAAGCCATTTACATGACATAATTCTCTTGTGCAAAAGCCAATTGAACACACACACACACACACAAACACGTGGTGGAGTGAACTCCATTGTCGATGAGAATGGAGCGAACTCTTGCAGATGTGATGGGCATGGTGATGAGACCATCCCGATGTCACCAACCATAATCGTCCACCAACATCTCGACATCACCAAGACACCAACAACCATTGTCCACGAAAAACTACCATCGTCTATTTTCACACCATCTCGATGAGGAGCTGGACTCACTGCCTCTTTCCACCACCACCCACTACTACAGTCCACCACCATTATCATAGCTCTTGTTCTTGATTTCTTTGAAAAAAATTTCCAAGATATAGTAAATGCCTTTTAAGGATTTTATAGTTATAGTGATTGTTTTAATGTTGGTGGTGATGACAACAAGGGGTGGTGGAAATGATGGAATTTTTGGTAAAAGATGGCGAGTGGCAGTGTTGATGGCAGTTTTTGTGGTGATTTTCAATGGTGGTGTCGTGGTGAGATGGTGTGATGATGCCTTTATGTCGATGGTAGGGAGGATGATGATAGAGGTGGTTGTGGAAACATCCGATGGTATACACGTGTTACAAGTGTTGCAAAAATTATAACAATTTAAAAAGTGAGTAAATTATATAGAATTTTGGTTAAAATTAATTTCATTTTGAATAATATTATTCATATAATGTCTAGATGATCACTAGTTTTACGTGGAAGAGAGATCACTGTCACATTATCCAATGAACTTTGAATGGATTATTCATTGGATATGATAGTGATTCCGACTTTATACGAATAATATTGTTATATAATTTTTTTTATGTTATTTGTGAAACTTTCCATTAGAGCGTGTCAATATACTTTTAAGAAAAGTAGCCGTTATCATTTTTATTAACAAAAAACCTATACAAATAGCTGTAAAAAT